GGGTGGAACTTCTGGAACTTCTTTCCCCTGCTCCAGCATACTCCCCCTCTCACAGGAGACAGCCTTCCACAACTTTTTTCTAACTTGAGTCACTCCTATGGGATGCAGCCCCTCCCATGATGCTCCAGCATGGGACACCCCCCGCATGCTGCAATGCTCCCAGCACTGAACTCCAACAGCAGGGGCTGCTTCTTCCCACAGGATCCCGGCCTCCTTCGTGCACAGTCACGTGCTCCAGCATGGGCCCCTCCTACAGACTGCATGTCAGTGTCTGCTCCACCGCAGACCTCCATGGGTGGCAGGGGGGGCCGCCCTGCTGTCTCACCACAGGATAGAGGGGGGTCTCTGCTCCAGCACACCTCCCCACTCCGCCCTTACTCCTCCATTCTTCCACTAACCTCGGTGTTCACACAGATGTCACAACTCCTCCTCACAACTCCAACTCCCACTCCCAGGTCCCTTCTTAAATAAGTTATCGCAGAGGCGCAGCTGACTGGCTCGGCCTTGGTGCAGAGGTGGGGTCAGCCTGGAGCTGGGGCAGCTTTGAGAAGCTTGGAGCTGGCAAAAATCCCACCACTCACTCAAACCCAGGACACCTCTTACCTGGGTTTTTTTGTACCACAAACTGGAAAAATAAGAAAAGTTATTTACAACTCTAATTTTTTATTTCATTAACATCGTACCCCAAATCTTTGCACTTCAGTATGAAAAAAATGGGATGAGGTAGCATGTATAAATACAGATGTCTGAAAACCTGATGGATTCATCAAACTGACTATTTTTTTCACAGTACTGGGAAATTCTGTCGGGTGCAGAGAACCCATCTGTCCTAAGTTCTCCTCAGCCCCCCAGATATCTACTGTACAATCAAAAGGATGGGATTTCAGACAGTGTATTGACTGACTTTGTATTGCATAGAACAAATCTGGAAAACTGTTGGCAGTTTTGATTAACACAGATATAATTTGACGCTGATTTACTTCATCATGAGGACTAACAGAACACCACATCATAGGCTATTTTGGTGACTCTCCTCACAGTAAGCACATCTTATTAACACTCTCTAACTTGTGTTTACTGTCAATACATATCCTGAATTTAATTTGAACCCATCAAAATTTACATAAATTTGGGCCTTAGCTGCTTGAAAGATTCAGGGAGATTACCCAATGTACCCGAGCCCTCCCTTTCATAAGAAACAGACATCCATGATGCTGGATATTGCTAGCAAGCTTTAAGAGGTCTGTGCACTTTTGTAGTAGCTCACTATTATGCTGACATAAGTTTCAATTAGGAATTAGCTTGGGAACGTTTTCTTTTTCTACTTTGAATTTGGCGATATTATGTATACACAGACCTTTTCTAGTATCTTTGGGAAGGAGGGAGATACAGTAAAGAGAAATAGAACTAATTCCAGGAAGATAAAATTCTTTCATTCATATTTTGTGCTACCCTTCTCTAAAAATTAGGCAGATAATTTAAGTAGATGATAAAGCTTTTCTGAATTCCACAGATTCAGTATCAGTCAATCAGTCAAGCCAGAGAGGCTCAGGAGGACACTGAAAATACTCCCGAAAGGCCTAAAATAGACTAAACGCCATTTTAAAAAGTCTTTAAAAATAAAGTATCTGGAAAATTCCTTAGGGGCTAGAAGCATGTGATGCGTTTTCTGGTAGGTATTCTTCAAGGGGTTTTGCATTTTAATTATTGACTGTTCATCCTTCACCATTATATTTTAATGTCATCTGTTATTAAATAAAATAAATAAAACATTGGAAGACATTTACATTCCATTGTCTCCTATTTCAGCTAAGTGAATGTACTCCGGAATTCATGAAACCATACAGCCTTTTTATGTAACTGCATCAGAGCCTCAGAATCAAGTTATATATTCTGCCAACACTGGAAATAAGAAGTATTTTAAAAGATAGAGAGAAGGCACCCATGCCAATTATGGCAAATGGTCTTCAGTGGAACTACACCATCAGAATACATTTCCCAATATGTGAATATATCACTAAATGACTAAGACTTATATGAAGCTCCTCCATGTTATTAAAGAAATAGTAAGTGGAAAAAATACTTACTTTGCCTGTGACTAGGTCAGACCGGAAGCGAAATCCTCATTCAACTCAAACCAAAAGGATCCACATATCTTACTGGATCTACAACTTAATTAAACACAACTTCAGTGGCTACTGAAGCGTACGCAATGTGATCCTGTGAAGTCAACCGTCCGGCAGAGCTTTATCCAGCCATCTCTCCAGTTGACTACTAATATGAATTACATCTGCGAAAATCAAATGGACCACACCAGTAGGAAGTCTGAGTATAATTGCCCTCTTCACATTGCCTGTAGGCTCCTGTGTTTGTACAATTCGATTAGTTTTCTCCCTCTCTTTTTCCCCTCCCTGCAGCAGCATCTGCAGCGTGCACTGCTGCCTGCACAGCTCTGTCAGTGCATGCTCATGGTTTCTTAGCCTGGGCTTGAGCAAAAGAGAACTGCTGGCAAGACTTCCTGCAAATACACTGATATAAAATAGCTGTTAGGATGACGTCACACCAGCCTGGCATGGATCTTTTTATAAAAGGCAAAGTTATGTATTAGGAAAAAAAAAAAAAAAAAAAGCTGCCAGGCAGAGAAACAGATGTTCTCTCTCCTTTGCAGTAATCAAGCTGGATAAAATTGTGATAAACTGGTTACAAAGGTGGTTGGGTGTGCACTGTAGGTGGGGTCATTGGTTGCTCTTGATGTTAATAAAATCTCAGGGATTGTTCTGACAGAGCAATTAAGGTTTTAATTCCAGGAATGGCAATAGCAACTGTGATGAAGTTTCCTGGGTCAGAGAGACTACAGGTATTCTCGGGCTTGTTCATCTGGGTCTCCCAAGCACTCTCATTCAAATGAAACAATTCCCCCTGCCTCACAATTAACCAGCCATGACACTGAAAAGATGCAAATTCAATTACTTTAGCACAATCATACTGCTATTACAGCATAATTTGTATTCGGTCACTGGGCACCTTAAAGGAATCGTTGTGGTCTGTTAGTAATTTGAGGACTGGGCTGTTTGGGTAGTAGCCTAATCACTTGGAAGGTTCTGGTCTTTGTTAAGGAACTCTTAATAGGTATGTGAAATACAGGCAGTTCCAAATGCAGTTCAGAGTCAGAGACAGATGACAGTAAAAAAATGCAAGGCATCCATCATTCATAACGTTATTTGAAGTACCCTGCAAAGGAAATAAAATTTCATGCAGACTGGGAGACTTAATGTACTTTCCGAGAATTTCTTCCAAGGTTTGATTCATATAATGTCATAATTACCCCTTTTAGCTTCAGAAACTAGGATTGACTCAATCTTTGTCATTTTGGAAAAGGACTTCTATTTCAGAAACTAGTGATATAATCTAAACATTTAATATGTTTATGCCTTCAAAGGAGGAGCTAACTTAAAATACTACCAAAAAAGAAACAAATTTAATACTTTTCATGAAGAATCACCACCACTGTCAGATCTGTTACCTAAATAAAGTTTCGGGGTTGGGGTTTTTTTTTGTTTAGTTTTTTGTTTTCTTTTGGTTTGGTTTGTTTTTTTTTTGTTAATGTTGTTTTGTTTTTTTGCTTGCTTGTTTGTTTGTTTGTTTTCCTGTCCAGTGTAATGAACTTACTCATTCTGCAATCACCTTGACAGCCTTTCCTTACGGAAAAAAACAAAGAGGAAATCCAAGGTGTACAATGAAAACAGGGAGATAATTTCCCATAAAATCATATTTTCAAATTTTCAGTACATGTCTTTTGTTATGGTGATGCCCATTAAACTTTTTTTTTAATTAAAGAAAAATAAAAACACTCCCCTATCTATCCCTATGCTAGCAGAGGAACCAGAAGGTGAATTGTAGAAGGAAAGAGTTAAAACTAACTGGATGGATCGGTATCATTAATAACATGCTCATTTAAGACCTCTTTTATTATGTCAAACAGTGATTTCTCACGCAGAAGCACGAGGGCATAGATATGTAAGCAAGGCACCCTGTTTCAGAATCCCTATGACAGCGTATCTGAGATGGCATTATAAAAACACCATGCTTTTTAAAATCCATGCTTTTAAAAACACACACACATCTCTCACATCAAGTAATAGTGACTGTACAAAGAAACATTACACCAGTATATTTAGAATTAGCTACTGCCCGTCCTGGAACAACCCAGTACCTGTAACCCGCGGAATGTACTCGCTGTGCACTCCGCCACACTGACCTCGGGCTGCGGCCTCCGAGGCCTGCTCCCGCAGCTGCTCTCAAACGTTCAATCCCACACCATCACCCTTGGTCTCCAACCACCGCTGTGGTTTTTTCGCGGCTACTCCTTCCCCTCCCAGCACCCCAGTGCCAGGCCACCCACCCGAGGTACCAGCTAGCCCATCCCTCTGGTAGGAGGCTGGCGCCTGAGCTCAGCTGGCCATTACCTCTTTCTCCGCCGGCAAATGGCGCCTAAGTAGACTGTACAGACCTCAGACTGGAATTTCCTGACGTTCGGCTGTTCGGTTGAAGCGCCAGCTCCGACCCCTCCGCCCGTGCCCGTGAATCCCTGCCACGCCGCCCGTGCATGGGCAAAAGAGCTTTGCCACTCGCTCGCGCCATTCCGGGGGACACGCAGACCTTGGGGTGCACACACGGGCGCCCATGCGCCAGGTGCGCGGCCGGCAGGCCCGGCTCACCCCACACCTGCCAGCCGTGCCGGTACCCCTGCCTCTCCCTACCCCGTCTCACTGGAGAAGTGCTGTTCCCTCCACGCCTCCCACCCGGGGCGCAGGCCTGCCACTGCTTTTGCAAAAAAGGAAAAAAAAAAAAAAAAAACAAAAACAAACAAACAAACAAAAAAACCCCACACCACCACCACCACCACACACAAAAAAGAGTGCAAAGCTGAACTTTGACAGAGAGGCAGCCGACAACAAAACGCGCAGCGCCAAGGCCACGGGCGTCCTGGGTTCTGTTTCCAAGCGAAGGTCTACAAGCCGCAGCAGCCCTTCCCCTGCCTGGCGGGAAAGCGGGGCACACGCCGCGCTCTCCCGTGGATTGCCACCGTGTGGAGCCGCCCTACCGGCCGCGGCAAACGCCGCTTCCCTCCTCCGCTGCCCCACGCAGGAAAACGCCACCGGCGCTGGGAGCCGGCACGCCCCGCGCGCAACCGTTGCGCGGTGGGGAGGGCCCACGCGCCCCGTGTCCGGAGGTGCGTTTCGGCAGTTTAAAAAGGCGACTCGATCAAGCCTGAAAGAATTAGGAGGGGTTTGCCGGGGCACGGCTCACGGGCGAACGGGGTGCGGGGGGGAGGGGCGAGACCAGGCACCAGCGCCACGGTACGGCCGTGAGAGAGCGGCGAACACGACATGCGTGTCGCCGGTCCCCGGAGAACCCGCGGAGCGGGTAGGCGACCGGAGGCAGCGCCGCCGGGCCACCAGGGGGCGCTCTCGCCGCGGCCGCGCTCCCGCCCCGGGTCCCGGCGGGCGTGCCCCCTCCGCACGCGGCGCGCCGCGGTGGGGGGGGCGGGGCGTGGGCGGTGTCACGCCGCGCCACGCCGCGCGGAGGGCAGGGACGCGCTGGCGGGAGACGGGGAAAGTCGCGGAGCGGCGAGGGCAGTGCCGATCCGTGCCGTGCCCGCCATGTCGCTGGTGGTGATGGGCGTGAGCGGCTCCGGGAAGTGGGTACCGGGTGGGCGGCTGCCCCGGGTGGGGGGCTCCGGCTCGGCGGGGGCGGGAGGTCTCGGTCCCTTGCCCGTGGCGCGGCGGTTTGTAACCGGCTCCCTGTGCTTCCTTGCAGGACCACGGTTGGGTCGCACCTGGCAGCGAAGGTACGGGCGGTGCCGCACGGCGGGCGGGCTGGCGCGGCCCCACGGGCGTCCGCGGCGGGTGGGCCGGCCGGCCGGCGGTCTTCGCGAGCGGCGCGGCGGTGTGGCCCGCTGGCCCCGGACGGGGCTTGGGGGGTGTCCGCGGCGCGGTGCTGCTTGCGCCGGCGGCTGCTCCTCGGACTTTGTAACTTCTGCTCATCGGGTGATTCATACCGTGGTGTGGTCTTTGTAAACTCCTGCGGGGCTGGCTGCTTCCCCCGGTTCGCCTGAATGATCCGTAATTTTTTCTTAGCTAGGATGGAGGTTCTATGATGCTGACGACTATCATTCCCCGGAGAATAAAAAGAAGATGGCAGAAGGGATTCCGCTCAACGATGAGGTAGGAGCCTTGTATAAACCCTGAAAGGGCAGTCATCCACACGCCTGTCGTTGTACTCCCCGGCACATCGCGCTAAGGGAGACTCTGTTTTACGTAGACTAGGCTGACTGTAAGCACAGGCTCTAAGCTACAGGTCTGCAGCCGGTAAAGGGGGGGAAGCTTCTTGTATTATAAAGGATTCTGTATAAAAAAAAGTAGTTTAGCAAAGTGTGCTGGGTAGCTCACAAAGGGTTTGATGCCAATTCAGGGTCTGTCAGAAATACCTCCCTCTAAAACCGTATACAGAGTTGCAGCTTTAGACTACATGCTGCTTCTCTGAGTTAGATGCATGAAGGCGGGCACATGTCTCTAGTGAAGTACTTTCAGTTACTGTAGTGATTACTCCACAGTCTTCTGTTTTATACATCCCTTCCTAACACATGCTTTTTTTCCTTCAGCCTCTTGTTCAGCCTAAACAGATAAACATGATCAAGTTTAGTTTTACAAAACTTACAAACTCCAAGACTTGAGTAAATTAGGAACGTTACAAGATGACACCTCTTGAACTTCTTCTGGGAAATCTCTGTAACTAACTTGTTTTCTTTTTAGGACAGGATACCCTGGCTGTGTGCGTTGCATGCTATTCTAAAGAGGTAAGAGAACATCTAGCTTTAAGGTGTTTTGGGTCAAGACAAGAAAAGCGCTGTTCTGTTTTCACTGGTAATTGCTGAGGGTGAGAGAGTCCCTGAAGAATAGCACTGGGAAAATTGTTGCCAATGATAGTTGTTTTTCTACTGTGTATGTGAAAATAGTTTCAGGAATCCACTTTGGTAATAAGCCTGACATTAGCTACTTACAAAGGGCATAACTGCAAAATACACCGATAATGACAGTAGGATACAATTTTGTAAAATATTGTTAGTTTGAGTAAGATACAGCGTCAGGCTTGCTTGACACCATCTGCCATAGATTGCTCATAGAAAAGCTGATGGCAGTAAGGACTGGATGAGCAGACGGTGAGGTGGACTGAAAACTGGCTGAACAGCGGTGATGGGTGGCAGGAAGCCAAGCTGGAGGCCAGTAAGTAATGGTGTGCTCCAGGGGTCAGTACTGGATTCTGACCTCTGTAACATCATCTTTAATGAACCAGATGATGGGGTAGAGTGTACCCTCTCTAAGTTTGCAGGTGACAGCAAACTGGGAGGAGTGGCTGAACCAGAGGGACCTTCACAGGTTTTAGAAACGGGCTGGTAGTTTAAAAAGTGCAAAGTCCCGTCCCTGGGGAGGAACAACCCCAGGCACCAGTACAAACACTGGAGGGCACCCAGCTGGAAAACAGCTTTGCAGAAAAGGACTGGGGGGGGAGGCTGTGGTGGACACCCGAGTTGAACAGGAACCAGCACTGTGCTTTTCTGGCACAGCAGGCCAGTGATACTGTGGGCTGCATTAAACAAAAGGATTGCTTGCAGGTGGAGGGAGGTGATCCTTCCCCTCTCATCAGCACTGGTGAGGCCCCACCTGGAATGCTGTGCCTGGTTCTGGGCTCCCCATTCTGTGAGAGACCTGGACATACTGGAGAGCATCCAACAGAGGGCCAGGTAGACGAAGGGTCCGGAGCATCTCCCAAATGACAAAAGTCAGGGAGAGCTGGGGCTCTTTAGCCTAGCTTTACGCAGGCGCTGTTGCTTGCTTGAGCACATCAAGTGAGCGTACCTCATTGGAGCACAGGTTAATTCACTGAGAAACTTGTCTGCATAGTTATGCTTGATCCATTGCTTTATGTTGCATGCTAGCCCAAGCCCACTACTCAGCTCCAGAAAATCTGCAAAATCAAGTATACTTTAAAAGAGCCTAATGCCAGTGTTCAACTACTAGTACTTGTAAGTAGCTGAGTCTGTGACTGGCTTACCTAGGTGATAGTTGTAGGCATTTTAAGTTCTTATTCTCCCATAAACCAAAATCTGATGAACATTTTTAAATAGGTTTATACCTTATTTTACTTCAATTACAGAATGTATTTTCTTAGACAGGCATTTCAGTCATTCTTCACAGAGACAACTAATTCTCAGTTTGATTTTTGGTGCAGTGGACACACCCACGGTTTAATGATTGCTTTCTTTTAAGAAACCTTACCGGTAAAAAAATACCTGTGTAAGGTATTAATTTACCTGCATCCAATCTCTTATTTAACTTGAAGTGGGCATGTACGCAGTGCTGCCAAGGAGTATCCTTACAGGAGACAAAATATGACTTTACAGTTAAATCTGAGACAGTGAAAACAGGTGTTGGTAGTATACCTGCATATATATTTAAGAACAGATCTCCTCTGTTCAGCAGCTGTTCATTCTCTAGACAGCTTAGTATAGTAGTTTTATATATAATGGATGGGAGTTTGTATAGATACTCAGCTGCTGCTGTTCTCAGCAATTAAGGAAATTATCATGGCATTCCCTTGTGCTAGAATTGAATTCAATTTAGGAAAGAATGGTGGCTAATAAAGAAGGTCACCAAGATTGAGATTTTTCCGAGGAGGCTGGCTGGCCTAACCTTACTTTCAAATCACATCTTTACCTGCATCAGAAACTTAGTTTCAAAATCCTGTCAAAAATTAGGAAAAAATGCCACTACTCCCAAGGATCCAGGGCTTGTCTCCCTTGTTCAGCAGAACTAATGAGCCATTTTTATTATACCACCTGTGGATGGTTTTGTTTTGTTTGTTCTTTTGATAGAGAAGAGTCATGTAGACAAGCTGCAGTTCTGGCCTGTTCTGCACTGAAGAAGATGTATCGGCATGTGTTAGTTAGTGGAGCATCTGCAGTTGGAAGCAACCAGGCAGGGCAACCAGGAGAAACTGCACTGAAGATCCTCTTTGTTCATTTGGATGGGCCTGCAGACGTAATTGCTGGCCGCCTGAAGAAGAGAGAACATTTTATGCCACCTGAACTTCTCAAGTCTCAGCTTGATATTCTGGAGCCTCCTAGCGCACCAGAAAACTTCATTACTGTCAGTCTTGAAAAATCTCTCCCTGAAATAGTGCTGGAGATTGAGAGCACCATTTTTCAGGGCAAGGCTTTTCTGGAGTAAGTTTCTGAATTGCATGTACAGAAATTACCTTAAGGCTATCAAAGGTGTGGAGAGGCATTTTAATTATTAAGTTATATCAAACCAACTAATTCTTCCCCAATAATTAAATGAATTGCAATATTAAGAGCTGGTATGCTATTCCTGGTATTTTTATCATGGCTCTGTAAAAGAGACGCAAGATGAAATTTTCAAAAACTGTCAACTTTTTAAATCCTTTACCATATGAAGTTAAAACTCCCATTTTAGGAAGAGCCAGCTTTTGAAAATCCTGCCAAGGATCAGTCACATGCAAGAACTTATTTTCTTCATTTTAATTTGTATGCTGTCAAACATGGAGATTGGCACACTCGCAATTAAGTGATGAAATAATTTGCAGCTTTGTTACAACCAGCCTATTTCTGTTTCTAGAAAAGGCAGGAACATGCATGATGAGGTTCCATGCCTGACCTTACCCCTGCCTCACTGCCAGATTTTCAACAACTTGTGGCTTCTGCGTGTCCTTGCTAACCTCAGGAGGACACTGGTGCCTTCATGAGAGCTTTTGTGAATTTTATTGTATGCACTGAATACCAAGCTGAAAAATGTGATTAAAAAAAGGCAGTGGTGGTGAGGCAATATATGAAACAGTTGTGTGGAAACCTTTAGAAATAAAGTAGATGTGGCATCATACCAGTTCTGAACAAAGCAGACCTACTGGTAATTGCAGTGGAGAGTGACTCAACCAGTGATCTAAGGTACTGAACACAAGATTGATAGGCATTTCCTCCTTGTAGAAAAACTAACTTATTCTTCCCCAGTTGAGACTTTCTCCTTCACTTCTGTTTTCTGGTATGCTTTGATCTGCTACCTCAGCCCCTCCACTCCTATCTGTGCTTATGGATGGGTGTTCATGCAAGTGCTTTAAGGCTTAAGATGAAACTGTTTCTAATACACGTTTTTCAATTTTTGTGATCAGAAAACTTCACAGAATTTAAGGCTACAGTCCTTTTTAATTGCTAAAGTGTTTGTTAAGAAGTTCTTTATGCCTTAAAACTGCAGCTAGTTTCTGCAAGAAATATTTGACTCGCATCTGAATGGAGTCATCCCACTGTGCCATTGCACATGGGTTGTTTTTAATGTGTCATGGAATTTTATTTTTAGGATGATGAACTGCCTTATAAGCAAGACTTGTTTCAGAGCATCTTTGGTGTGGTCTTGTGGTGTGCCAGAGGGCAACTAAGCACCATGCACCACTCACCCCTTCCCCCTCAGGAATGGGAATATAAAGCAAAAGGCTTGGGAATCAAGATAAGGACAGGGAAGGATTACTCACCCATAACTGTCACAGGCAAAAGATAGATTGACTTGTTAGGGGAAGAAAAAGAACATCCATTTAATTCAAACACTAACACCACCAATACTTAATGGAGTAGGACAGTGAGAGGCATTACATCTTAAAAACGCCTTCCGCCCACCCCTCCCTTCTTCCGAGGCTCAGTTCTGCTCCTGATCTCTCTACCTTCTCCCCACAAGTGGCACAGGGAGGCAGGAACAGGGGGGTGCAGTCAGTCCCACTGCTTATCCTTCCTCAGGGTGGGGACTCCGTCATATTCTTCCCCTGCTCCAGCGCAGGGTCTCTCTCACAGGAGAGTCCTCCACAAACTTTTTGCAACCAAGTCCTTCCCACAGGCTGCAGCTCTTCCCAAACCGCTCCAGCATGGGTCCCTCCTACATGTTGCAGTCTTCCCAGCACCAAACTGCAACATCAGGGACTTTCCTGCGTAGAGTCCTGTGCTCCAACACACACGGGGTACTCGACAGGCTGCAGGTCAGCATCCACTCCACTGCAGCCCCCCGTGGGTGGCAGGAGGGCAGCCTCCCCTCTCGCCACAGGCTGCAGGGGGGCTCTGCACCAGCACAGCTCCCCCTCGTCCTCCTCCCTTCCAGTGACCTCAGTGTTCACATAGGTGTCTTCCTTGCAACTCCAATGCCTCCTCCCAGGTTCCCCTTAAATACATTCTCCCAGAGGCACAGCCACCTTCACTGACTGGCTCAGCCTTGGCCAGAGCCTTGGAGTCAGGGGAGCTTGGAGAATCTTCTCACAAGGGTCACAGGGGTAGCCCCCTCCCCTGCTACCAAAAACCACACCGCACACACAGAACCAGCACAGGTGTAATTTTTACCTGGATAACTAGTTGAAAAACATTTGTCTTGGTTCTCCTTTTGTATTAGTACATACAACTAGACAAACTACTGTGCTTAGATCAGTGCAATAAATGGGAATAATCTGACAGAAATTACGGGCACTTTTAGAGACAGATTTGGGAGTGTAGACATTAACTGGGGCTGGAATAGCGCTAATTTTTCTTCCTACCAGCTAGAATAGTGCTGTGCTTTGGATTCAGTATGGGACGACAGACACACAACCCAGAAGTGGTCTTCTCCTCTTTGTTCATGACCTAGAGGGAGAACACGAGGCAGCTGCCAGTTTCAGTTTGCTGCTGTACCCTAAAGCAGCCCTAGAAAAAACACTTTCTCTCAGTTCAGAGACTATTCTGAGTTCCAAGGTACAAGCTTAAAACTCACAGGCAAAGTTAAGTGCAAAAGACAGGCATGCCTGGCTGATTAACACCCTGTTTCAGAGAATAGGCTCACCTTCAGGCTGACTCATCCAGAACTGTGAAAATTTAGTAGCTATGAAAATTAAAGAAATGGCACCCTCCTGTGGTACTTCTGCTTTCAACGGTCTTCAAGCACAAAGATCTTTTCTAATACACTCATCATTAAATAATCCTCACCTTCTTCCAAGACAGTAAAACTATATCAGGACACTGTGCAGTGATGGAAAAAAAAACAATCAGACCTTCAAATAATAAAATTAGACAACATTTTCAAATGTGAGCTCCAAAAAGGCTAGACTGTCAGATCTGCTTGTCAGCAGTTATAGTGTGCTCACAAAGGGGCTGGCACCAACAGAAAATCGGACTCCACACTTAAACACCATTCTCTTAGAGAAGTCTATGGAAGCACCTTGGGTTCTGGAAGTCTTTTCTAAACAAAATAGTATGTTCTTATTTACAGGCAGTTCATGCTTCTTCAGATTAGGTCAAGGTATTTCTCACTCTTTGCTCCCATGACAGGAGTATTTCCTTCCCTTAGCCTTTTATTATATTTGTCTTTTACCTTAAGCAGAACAAAGTATTTCCACAGTACAACTGATGCTGAAAAGACCACAAAGCATCCATTTAAATTAACATGCCATTAATCTTGTGAACGACAGGTCCAGTTTTCACTACTGGAATTGAGTACTTTGTTATATCATTAGCTGGTACTTTAAAGTTGTAATTCCCACTTACATCCTTCCCTTAAGACACCTCGGTACCTTCACTATTCTAGCCTCCACATCAACTAGAAATTACCAGCACCTAAAGCTAGTCATATTTTGCAGACCTAGTGTTCATGAGAACCTCCTGTTTCCAAGAAAGCAGTTGGCAGTATGCGTATGAACACAGTAAGATGTTAAGCATACACCAGTTTTTATCAGAATGCTGATCTGAAGATAGTGCCAAGCATCTGCATTTCCCTCGCAATCTCAGGAGACAAGGGAGTTTGCCTCCACCTTGCTCCATCTCAGAGGGGGACAGATCAAAAAAAATTGCAGAACCTGCCCCTCTCAAGTAGAAACCAAGACACCATTACTTTCACTGGAAAGGACGGGTGAAATCTTCAGAAACACAAGTTCTTATAGATGCTTTCCCTCTAAACTCTTCCTGCTTGCTTTTTACTTGGAACAGGAAGGTTGCAAGACTTCTAGGAAACTTTTCATTAGGTCCATCTGCTATGTGGTTTATTGTCCTCAAAACCTAACCAGGCTTGTGTAATTAGCTAGACAGAACTGTTGCAATTCACTATTTCTTAAACTTTTGCTGCAGTGCCACGTATCTGAACTTCACAATGCTAAATCCCCAGGGGCTTGCAGGAACTGTTGGCTTTTTCCCCCTCCCTCTACAGGGAAAGCCTGCTTTATTTCTGCTGCCTGTTCACGTGCAGATGCAGGAATGCACAAATTGTTTGAAGAGCATACTGAACTTGAATTTCACAGGGCTGTGTGTGGACCCCAGCTCCACAAATTGAGAGTTCCAGATACTACATAGAAGGTTGCTGCCAACTTGATTAGTTAAGTAGTCTGTTATCTGCTATTCTGAAAGACAAAGTGTTACTTCTGTTCACTTATGCATTGCACATCATCACAAATTAAAACATTAAAGCCTCAGTTATCCAAATGCTAACCATATACAACCATCCTGATTTTAATGAGGCTGCGCATGCGTACATTAAAAGGAAAAGATCACAGAACAATCCCGCTACTTAAGTTTCATTTACCTGCCCAAACACAATCCCACATCATTTCATTTACTGACTTTTTTTTAATTAAATGAACTTAACACTGTATTAGGGATATTGTATTCAGCTTAGTTGGGCAGGTTATTTATATTCAAGCTCAAGTTATCTGAACACAAGTTTTTTGTCCCTATTCTGAAATACATTTATCAAAGGCAGCAAAAACTGACGAAACACATGGAGTTAAAAATTGCTTTTTCTGTCTGTTACAAGCACAAGTTACCTGTGGCAGGCACATGCTCTATACCTCCTCAAGTTTGTACTAAGCAGAGTTTGTAGCATGCTGTGTAAATACTCTACCTACTACAGCATAAATATTTTGCAATGCTATAACAATGAAATAAAAATGAAATTTTAGATCCCAGTAGGAATATCCATTCATATATTAAGGGCAGGAAGGGTAGACACCACTCAGCTCTAAATTGAGGTGGTTGTTTTATTACGCAGGCACTAAACCAAGATGACAATTAGACAGACCACATCCTTTACAAAACTAGCCATCATGCTGTCATATTCCCAACAGTAATGTAACTGCATTTGATTTGAATCTATGCGTTTTAAATCTTTTAAATGGCATCTGTCAGTTCACACTATCATGACTTTCTCCTTTCTTATTTTTGCAGCCATTACTTTCTCTAGCAGTAGGTTGATGATCAGGCCAGGAAGTTTTGTACAATCATATAAGATCATTTTGTCCTGTGTAGAGGAAAAGAAGAAAGTAGGAAAAGAGACAAGCCTCATGCACACATGCCCTTCTGGTCTAAAATGAAAGCTGCAGATTTCAAATACAAGTTATCAAAGTACTCAGAGTAAATTATAAGATTGTTTCTGAAAGAAGAGGTAGATTATACAGATTATACTTCTGAAGAGAGAATTTTGAAAAGGGATGGGGGGGACAGACAGGACACGAGCAGGAACATTTTAATATGCTATTAAACAAACAAGTGTGATCTTTCTTTTATTGTTAAAGTTGTAATAAGAAGTCTACCTTACCTATAAATCTTGTTCTATTTACTGTGTTTTCTGACAAAACTAAAATTCCTCCCATGCAGAAGATGGCTCAGCGTTTTACCACTGCTTACAAGAAAGTTAGTATCTGCTGTCTAGTTGACAACAGTTACTGCTAAATATCAATTGTATTTCAAGAAGGAAACTTAGCTCAAGGACTTAATATAGAATTTAGGTCAAACTTCATCTCTTGTTGAACTGCAATAAAGTTTTACGTCAAATATAGTGTCTCTTTGTAACATGCAAGTGAAATACTTACATAGGTGAACAGAATGTTGTCTCAAGGAGGTGTTCATGCTAGTTAGATTCATTGTTACAGTGTCTTGGTAAAGCTTGGTAAAAATTATTCTCTTTCCCACCTCACCCTCACTCTTTCATTTGACAGTAGCCTTTATGGCTGTCACTGGTTGTATTCTCAAAAGAACCTGCCTCCTGAATGATGAGGGGGTCTTACTTTTTTAAAGCATGGTCTCAGTAAGGCACACTATAAAGTCAAGTCAACTCAGTTACTTTGAAGATCCTAATAAACAGTCATTGTGAAACTACTGGAGGTATTTTTAAAGGTTTTGGTTACCTTAAATTCATCTTACCAATAGATTCTATTTTAATTTATTTATGTTTATTTAACACTCCATGCTGCTCCATCTATGAGACTTTGATCCAAAGGCAGAAACTGCCAGCCAAGAGATCTTCCTGAACTTTTCCCAGTACCATGCATCAGCAGTATCTGATCAGTTTACTTACTGGTGAAGAAAGAGACAAGATTATTGGAAAGTGAGTGAAACTTCTGTCATAAGAATACAACACAGTTAGTGCCAACATTACTGCACACATGGCTTTGCCAAAAATTTTTAAAATTTCACTATATGCTGAAGTGTGCTCAACTCATCCCTTTATATTGCATTATATCTTTGCTTCATCAACTTGATTAACAACTTTGAGTTAAACTGGGTAATTTTAAACCATCTGCAAGCAATGATGCTTAGAGCAAACTGAATTATACTTGTACCACTGAAAGAAAAAGACTGTTCAAACCACAATAATGTAAAAGCAGTAGAGAAATTCAATAAGCATGTTTACAACTACACTGACACAGAAGACTAATAAAAAACAGATACTACCGAGTAGCACACACAGTAGCATCTTTTACTCTGCTACCTCCGCTTTACCTAAGCTAGTAGTCTTTAACATCACATGCCTCTTACTCTCTTCCCACCAGCTCACACTCCCAAGAGTTGTTCATTAATCTTAGCCCAGAGCTGGTGAATATTCCCAGACCTTATACACCAATGCCAACTCTTAAGCTGATCAGTCGTCTTGAATTCGATCCAATCATCAACTGCAAACACACAGAGATAATATGCTTAAAGATTTTTAATTTATTCATTACCTGTGCACAAGAGAAGTAACTACCAATATAAACTCAAAAGATATACAGTATTTTTTACATGGTAGTTAAAAGTTATTAGAATATCACATGACCATGAATGAAAGTAATGTTTCCAATTACAAATCAGAATACGTTAGCATCTCAATGGAACAAGCCAAAAAGCCTTAGAAGAAGTTCCAGAGCACAAGGTGTGCCCCTTGAATTTTCACAATGGTAATTTACAGTTAATCTTTGTGAATATTGAGACAATGTTACAATGCAGGTTTCTGTACAGTCAGATGTAGAGAGATAACCAGAACAGTAATTCTAGTCTATTTTAACTGAACTTGCTTAAGCATTTTTGCTGAGATTGTTACCAAAGATGCTGGAAGATTCTACATCAAAAGTCTTACAAATTTTATCCCCCTGGCTTTTTTGCATTACTTATAACATCATTCTATTGCAATGTGCAAAACTCTAGAAATGAGCTGTCTCCATTGTATATATTGTGTTTATACTTTGTACAAATTAAAAACAAAAAATGGTAGATTACTCAAGTGGTATAAATCTTTCAGCATTTTGCTAGCAAAAAAAAAAAAAAAACCATGCCAAAATCACAATAAGCAGTATTGGTAGCCAGAAACTGTAGCTTCAATTAATTTGTTTCCTTTTAATTTTTATTCTACATAAATTACTACTGAAGGCTAATGTTTAAGTAGTAAATAAATTGGACAGTTGTAGGTCAGAGAAAACCTGTTAACCCAACTGTGAAAGCTGATATTGTTTCAGAAAAATCACAAATAATGCAGAACAAAGAAGTGTGATGCATGCAATGGAGTGAATATGAACTGATTCCCACCTCTTGAAGAAAACTACTGCACTCCACCTTAAAATGCATCAGACCAATTTTAGTTATGACAATCCCCATAGTCAAAATGAAATAAAGCAAATATTTTAAAGATTTGAGAGCTGTTATCAAAAATAAATTACATTTTTTCAAGTTAAAGAAACACTGCTATGAAGGCTGAGAGCCAAGCAGCCTTTCAATAGCTGCATTGATGTCTCCTCCTGTTGCTATTAGCGCTTGTAAGTTTGCTTCACGGTTCAGGAAGCCCATTGCACTCAGCTGCTCCAGTTGTTGCTGAAATCGAACTTCTGGATTTTGTAACTGCTAAGAACAAAATTTCAAGCCATAAAAGCATAACACATTTAGAAAAGTACATAATTTGAACATAGATGGTTCTGAACCACTTGGGTTTTGCTGATTTCTGACTACATCTTTTTTAAGGTCCTAAAACTACATTATGACATAAATTCAATTAATAATTATTTTTTTAACAAGTCAGAGCAGCTTCAATTTTAAGAGTATCTACACTTACATGACGTTCTTGAACTACAGAAAAAGCTGCTCGTTCGATAAAAAAACATTAAAGTTAAATTGGGTAAATTTAAGTCTCATGAAAAGTTTCTTAAGAGATTCACCTCTTTTTTAATGCTCTAAATATTTGTTGACTAAAATTACCAAAATTCTAATTGTTACAAAGCTTTAGACTAAGGCAAACTGACACCTGTGCTTTATGAGATGATCCTGCTAACACCAACTAACAGCAAAAGGCTGCACTATTTCAGTGGTATGATCTTCAGTTCAGAGGCATTTTTGAATCAGAACAATTACAGGAAAATAATATGCTGCAGTCATACTGAGAAATCACTTTTTAAAATCAACAAGTCAATTTAGATACCAACACGAAACTCGTGCAGCTACTTCTAATTTTCCTTTTGTTCTAATTCAACAGTTTCATACATCAAGGAATTATTACCAGTATTTGAAATCTGCATATGGTTCCAAACCAACACAGTGTAAAGGCACAACCTGAAATTTAAGAATTTCCCCTCACCTGCTTCCCCCATGCAAAACTACACAGAACACTGACTCAGTAGCGTAGGATTTGACAGTGTAGGTGAAAATATATGAGAATATGGTTTCCTACAGTGACACTCACCAACACTGTCTCACAGTCAGATAACGAGAAGAAAGTCTGTCTGATCAGCAAGCTGAACTAACTCACCTTGTGGCAACAGAGGAGGAAAAAGCAGGACTCTTCCTTCCACCAGCAGTCTGCCATTACACTCGGTATGTACCACAGTGTAAGGGTGCTGTTTCACACAGCACTCTTGAGAGTTAACAGCATGTCTTCTTTAAAGCCAGATCTGCTCACCACCCTAAAACTACTGGCAAAGGTTCTACCTTTGCTTGACTTATGGAGCATCCTGGAAATCCTTAATCCCTCTTAGTATATTAACAAAATGCACTGCAGTCTGGATCTGCAGGATGTCAGTGAAGCTATACAACAAACTGAGGCACCAAACAAGAGTGTGACTATTCCGAAGTGTGCAACAGAGGCTTAGTTACAGCAAGAGAGTAACAGCCAGCAACACAGACAAAAAGCGCAGAGGTAACAGTGTTCAACATGCTTAAGCTTTTCTCTTGCCTGAGCCCACACTTCACTTGCCAGTGAACCTTACCACCTCAATCTGCCTCAATCTTTCCAAGCATTTCAGAAATTCAAGGGTATGAAGATGAACGTATAAAAATCAACTGTTCAAAAGACACTTTACTCAAATTTGATGTTTCTCCAGCACCTACTTGCACAGCTTCAACACCACTTTCAAGCCTCCTCCACTCTCCTTTGACAGAAGTATCCAGGGAGCTCTCCCCTCAACTATCAGCCCCCCTTCTAGTGGTTTACAGTGAAAAAATAAAGCATTTTAAAAACCTATAATATGGTGATGTACTTTACCTGTGCATTTGCACCAGCTAGTGCCTGCAACATTTGCTGGACAAACTGCTGGTGACCAGGTTCAGCAGTTCCTGATGCTGGACTTGTATTTTCAGTGGGAACAGAACTAGGTACAGTGGACCCTGTACGAGCTCCAGTGTTTCCTAGTCCACTTAAACCAGGATTAAATCTGCATAAATGACAGAAAGAAGATATAAACTACTTGAATAATAAATACTAGCTTGTCTTCTCATTTATTTGATTATTGAGTAAAAATCCTGTCAAAGAGGGGATGACAATTTAAGTAAAGTACTAAGACAAAGACCAGAGTCATCCCTGTTTAGAAGCACACAGCAGGCAAAAGCGTGACAGATTCTAAACCAAGTTTAGTTCAACTAAAAAAGGCAGTAACAGGATTCTTTAATAACAACTGGGTAGATATCTACATATGGATAGAACAAACAAGAGAAAAGTTCTTGTCTAAATTGTTAAGACTGGTTCTTACCCTGGTATAAGCCCAGGTGCTTCTGTTGCTAGTGTCTGCAAGCCCTGCTGAATCTGTAGCAAAGCCTGCATTGCTCTAGGGTTTGACATAGCTGATAGCGTGTCAGGATTCTGCATCTAAGAAGAGAAGAGAAACTCTTAATCATATGCAGATGGTCAAAGTCAAATTTTATCGCTAGTTACTTTATAGAATATGACATCATTTCAGAACTTGTTTTTCAACTTCATATTCAAGCATTTACATTAAATCCTTTAAGTATTTTTTATTTTTTTGATAAGCTTCTATGAAAATTTTTTCAATGAACTCTCTAGATGTGGACAAAAGTCCTTCTAATAAGCAGTACACAAGGAAAAGTATTTTTCATTAATTTTTCTAGCAGGTTTCATCATCTTTCAAAGCCAAAGGACTGTATTAGTCCAACATAATTCTAGATTTAGTCTCCTATATCATACTACTGGTAAGCAACAGTGGTGAATACAATGAAACTTGACCAACAGATATCCAAGAAAAAGTGATACATTTATTTTTCCTAGCTGAATTCAGACCACAGCAGTTTGATCACAACTATTTGTGCATGTCTTCATACGTGTAGTGCCCTCACAGCCTAGAGAAATGCAAACAAATATACTGAAAAACATATTAGCAAGTGAATGTGTAATATTCAAGGGCTCTCACTCTACTGTGACTTCAAGTAAAAACTGGCTTTCACATCCACAGATACTTAAGACAAATCCTTTTCATTTCTGAAATAAAATGTCCAGAAACCTGACTATTTTAGATACTAAAAGACTAGTGGCTTATGCTCACCTCTACTTAGAGGTGCCACCGGTAAGTAAAAAGTAATGTTTCAGTTGTGACATGGTCTTGGTAGACAGACCTACTTCCAATGGCAGACAGGCTTATTAATCTTAGCTGCCTTCACCTGGAAACTAGGTCAAATTCTTTCTGCTGCAAAAACATTTGTTATTCACATAGAAATCACAGATAAAGGTCAAAACTCCTCTGGTGCAGAGCAGAATAGGACATGAACTGTGGTCTGGAATTTGCATGTGTAACAAGCACAGTAAGTTTTTAATATTTTCCATTCATCTCCTGGATCTTTATCTTCCTGATCACTTTTAAAAGTCAGAGAATAACTACATATATGGGTGGCAAAGTTTATTAAAATTTTAAAGAGGAAAACATTTTGGGTTCTCCAAAGCAATCTGCTGCAACTACTTTAAGAAAATATTTTAATCACAACCATCTGATATTTGGACCTGTTTTACAGAAATGGTCCAACAATCCTCAGGGCACTTAAGTAACCTGGATCTTGTCTCTATTAATGTTACTAATTCCAGATATTAAGTAGGAGCGATTCTTTCCTAGTTCTGCTAGGCAATTGCCCTTTACTGCAGAAGATGCCTTCCAATATGCAGAGGAACATTCCGTTGTTTCTGTCACTCAATCTCGTAATATAAACATCAGTAGATAAGCAAGGAAGTATGAGCTGCAATACTGTCAGCATTCTGAGAACACCTAGATATTTTTAAACTTTACCTGCTAATGCTGATGATCTTTTGACCTAACATAGTAAATACAACAGAGAACTAGATGTGCAGATAAACCCCAAGGAGATACTGACAGGAGGAGATACCCAAAGGAAACGGCAATGATTCCTACTGTGCCTCATTAATTACCATTTATTCAGAGATTTCAAAAACATACATGTGTACTAGCTCCTCAGATACCACTGAGTAATCACAAAGCAGTGACATTACAAAACACTACAGCCATTTATGTGGTTGAAACAATTTAAATGCTTTCTTCTGAATGCTAAACTTGCTACCGTAATTCATGTATGTATTAATTATTTTACCCATAAAACCGCCTGTGTGCAATCAGATCTTGGCAATGCACATTTACTCTGATTTGCAAGGACTGCCTAATGATGGAACTCAGGCACTTGAGTAAGTTTTCAATTCCTAAAAAAAAAAATCTCGTTTACTCCTACTGAGGGAACACAGTACTGCTACACACTGTGGCAGCTAATACCAAGCAGATACCTGGGCTGCAAGCACAATGTTTTTAAGAAAGGAAGATGGTGGTAGGACAATCTTCATAGGCAAAAAGCTTCAGAACACACTTCTGAATTAAGTTAATGAATTGGGTCTTTAAAGGCATGTTGTAAGATCTCTTCCCCATATACTTAAGGCACATTTTAAGAGATATGAGATAAGCAGAGTGAAACATTATTCTAGTAGTGGAAAAAGTACTGATCTTTCTAATTTGTGAAAGAAATCATGTTGCAAACAGACATCCTCTGGCTAATGCGCAGTAAGAACAATTACTCCTTTTAAGCAAAGAAGCAAGAGCAAATCTAAGCGGTTGTGCTAGCCACAGACAAATATATCCACTAAAAGTCAGGTTTAACTTTGAAAGGGATGGAGACATAAAGCAAGAGTTTAACATCAAGGGACAACCTAACTCAGTGTCTAAAGCTAATGAGAACATAGAATCTAGCTTTTAGACAAATCAATTTTAGACAAATCAAAGAAAGACACCAGTTTACTGAAAATATTGCTCGTTGACTTGCAGACATTTATTAACAGTTAGTATCTCATCTTACTTGCTGAAGGAAAGTTGGAAGTTGTTGCCTCATTTGTTCCTGAAGTTGAGGATTTCCAGCAAACAAAGGATTATTCAACATCATCTATGGGATAGAAATATTTAACTTCAAAGATCATGCAGTAAAAAATCACAGGGCATTTTAGGACAACTACTTACACAGTAATAGTCTGTGAAAATAACCTCACAGAATAATCATCATCTACTACTCTTTTGGCCAAAGCTTGTTATGAAACATCAGCCTGAATACATTGCAGGGTTGGGATTTTTTTGGGGGGTGGGGTGGGGTGTCGGGGGGTGTGGTGGTGTTCTGTTTTGTTTGGTTTGGGTTTTTCGGTTGATGGTTGGTTGGGGCTTGGGGTGGGTTTTTTTTGTTGTTTGTTGTTGTTTTGGTTGGTTGGACAATTTTTAAGTGAGTGAATTGCCAGATACTTGCCAGGACAACCTCACTTCTATTACAAAAAAATCCTTTTTTGCTCAGTCTTCACTATAGATTTAAGTGATAGTTCCCTGTAAACATCACCTGAAGTCAAGAATATTTTCCAGGTGAGTATTTAATACAGAAAAGATAATTTTTTTCTTTTAATCTCAGCTCAGGATTCAACTTTGGATATTATTGCTTTAAGTAAAATTGGAAAGCACTTTTATGATACCATTCATAGAACAACATCTGCATTTTTACCGTGAACACAGGTCACAAAAGAGAAGTTAAAACCAGAACACCACCTAGATATGGCACCAACTCCCCTTCCTTCACTTCTCCCAAGATAGTGGGGGTATTTGTTTACTGGTAGATCTACCTTAATTTACAATCAAAGCATTTGTTTTGTCTAACTGGTTCTTATGCTGGGTCACAAGTTTAGAGCTGTACAAAACATATACAAACTTACAAGTTATTTTAGAAGCATGCTGGGCATGATGTCCAACTACAAATTGAAGCTCACTGCAATAAATTGTTAAATGTAAATAGAATATAATTTCAGTGAGTTAGGGATTAATGTTAAGAAACAGGCCATTCACTACAGACTATTGTTGAGATGTTGGCACAAGTGAAAATGTAACTGTATCAAACTTTTTTTTTCTTTTACTTCAATACACACAGTACGTTAATACACCACATGCATTCACCTGTACAGCAAGATCAGGATTCTGGCTCAATGACTGCATCATGCTCCTCATATAGGGTGCAGACAACATATTCTGCATAAGTTGTGGGTTTTCTGTTATCTGTTGTAGTAAACTCTGCATTCCTGGTGTGTTGAACATACCAGCTTAAAAAAAAAAAAAAGTAAATGGTCACTTTAGTAAACATCCTGACCACCATCAGATCAAATACCTAAAACCAGGTTATAATCACTTTGTTTCCAAGAGTTTTAATCCCTGAAATACACCTCAGTGTGGTTCTGCTTACACAGACACATCTACCACAGAAGTTAAAACAGAGGCTGTATCCAACAAGCAGTCCCACTAAGTATCTACGTTATTTGCTGCTTTCATATTTTGCCTCCAAAACAGAAAAATACTACCATTCACCTAGACATTCCCCACCTTTGTTATTTTAAGGCAATACAGAAGTACTATTATCACTCTTTGTTTACTTTTCATGTTTGTTTTTCTACAGAGGACTTTGATACAAGTCAAATGTTCTACAAAAGTAAATGACAATAAAAACTCTGAATCAAAAACTCTCTTTCTAATGAAAGAATCATTTCATCAAAATCCCAAGTATATGCAAATATATACAATTGCAGTAGTAAACACACCTCCTAGTCCAGGTCCCAAATTTGGTACAGTTGAGCTCTGTCCTGTACTGCCAGAGGTGCTATTTCCAGCACTAGTACTGCCACCACTCTCACTACTGGTGCTGGTACTTGTTGTGGAAGTCTGCGAGTCAGACTGAGGAGCCCAGGGATTTGGTAGAGGATCTCTATTTTCTGTACGAGATGGCTGACTGTCCCCTCCTGCTGATGCATTGCTTACTAAAGAAGCAAATGGATTACCTCCAAACTACAGATGAAAGAAAGCAAACATGTATCATCTACTAAAACCAACCACTTTTACATCTGCTATAAATGGCAAGTTACTTTTCCAAAATTATACATGATGATAAATGTTGATGGCTCTTGATCAGTTATACTCACCATCATACAGTTATTAGTTGTAAATATTCTGAAAACATGCCAACATTGAGAGATACTAGCACCTCCAAAAAAGTTAAATCACATTTCTTTTTGAAAGCTACTACACTGTTATTTTGATCACAGTAAGATTGTATCTTGCATACTGGTTTCCACTTCAAAGCTTTTTTTAATTCCCATCTTAGATTCCAAGTTACTAAACACACCTTTCAAAAATTTTTCCTGGACCTCAGAATTTTAAGGCAAAGAACTAAAGGAATTAAAATTTAAGTAATAGAGACATTCATTAACTTTAAAATAGCTTTTCAAACACAAAAGGGGTATCTGTATTTTTCTGACCTTAGAAGAGCATGTAATTTTTAAGGATCTTTCAACAATAAGAGGCCAACTAGTGACTTCAAGCATCAAGAAATGTTTTGTCAAGTACACGTTTGGAATTTTACATTACTTACATGCTTTTATTTTTCAAAAATTTACTTTCAGTGGCATTTACAATCTTTTCTCACCTGCTCTTGCGCTGCATTCAACATTGGCTCCTGAATATCTGTGTACATACGTCGCAAGGCATTGTATCCACCTGGTATACTTTCAAGGTTGCTCAAGGCTCGGTCTTGGTTTCGCATCATTTCCTGCATCATTGCAGGGTTTCTAGCAAGTTCTAGTGTCTAGGGAAGTGGAACGTTTAATCTGTATTAATAAGAAATCCATTCTAAAGTGAAAATGTCAGCATTTGGCAGTACCTCAGTTACCGCTGTCTAACCCAGTTTAAAATTATGATTAAAGCCAAATCAAGACATCAGCTCAGTGGGAATCAACCAAATTTGGTATTTAGCCAGCTTTCTACCACAACTGTCACTATGCTGGCTGGGTCAGGAAGCACTGGCTAAACAGAAGAAAAACCTTGAATGAACTCTTCCTTTCTTTCTTCATCTTTTCAATACAATGAAATTCAACCATTTCTAACATCATTTCAGGAGGCAGCCTATAAGATGAACTTTGAAAGAAATACCTACATTTTCAAAAGCATCTATTTATTTTTGATACCTTCTGCCACACAGCGTATCTTACACACCGTCTAATTTTAGAAGCACTCAGAAGTACCTACAGTTGGATAAAATTAAAATATGTAGTATTTTAGAGAATTACTGCTTCTGGTAAACTCATTGGCTAGACAACAGAAGGTTTCAAGTGCACCCAGAGACATCCAACTGTAACCTCAGAAGACCTTATTACACAGTCCTCAATGTCTTAAAACTATGCTGCATATTTTCTGAATTATCAGTCCATTTCTGATATTAACAATGAGAAATACAAACATCAGTTGCCTACAGCAACCTTTTATGGATCTTCTAACAAGCCTAAATACTTCAAGAATGTTTAAACACTCAACTAAGCATGTCCAATTCCTGCTTTGTTGTTCACAGTTACAGTATAATCAAAGGTCATGAACTTACAGAAATCTTTCTACATACCTGTCTCATTATATCTGGATTATTCAGCATGTGGCTGATTTCTGGATTTCTCTGTATCAGTTGCTGCATTTGAGGGTTAGCCATGATTAACTGCCTCATCAGGTCAGGATTTGAAAGCATGCTCTGAACAAATGGATTTTCCATTATCTGAACCATCATTTCTGGGTTGGACATAAGTTGCCGTTGCATCTGACTTTGCAGCTCTGAAAAGTTTGATGTGTTTAAGCCCAGGCTACTCAGACCTGCCAAACTTCCCAGGCCACCTTTAAGAGAACAACAAAAAAAAAAAAATTGAACTTTCAGATTCTAGTGTACTTCAAAACACATCCAGGGTGTTTCTACATACAAAGTACTTGAACATATCCCACACTTCATACTCATGAAAACAAATGGAAAGTCCATCTTTGCAAGACTGTTAAGAAGTTATCCACTAAGAGTTTGCTTCTTTAAATAACAAGACACCTAAGTAAGAATCCAACAAACTGCATCTGAAATATAACTTGTTACAATTGTAACAGCTTTTCTTCTAATTTTTCACATCTAAAACACAAGGGATGTTTGCATTTTAGGGCCTTAGCTTCCCCCCAACCCCCACAGCAACACTTCCCAATGCATTTATAATAACAATTTTTCTGTCTCTTCTTGGTTAGACTATGACCAAGAGAGATCTCCCAATATGACTTATACTCACTATTCTAATTAAAAGCAGAGTTCTTTCTAATGCACCAAGAACTAATTATGCTCTGAACTCCCATCCTTTGCCGAGTCCAAACAAAACATTTCAGAAGGTAGTAAGCAATCTACTATGGTTAGATTTTCCCATTCTACCTCTTCCCCACCCCCTGAAATCAAATGAGATGGAAAAGAATGAACGAAATTCCCCACTGTAAGAATGGAAATAGATAGTATTTTTGAGTCAATAGACTGCAGCCTCTTTATTCATGAAAGAGAAGACTGATAATGCAATCAGACTTGGAACCTGAGAAATACTGAATTGTAAGATTAGCAGCAATTCATTACTTCTGTTCTAGATCTTGGCTTCATGTTACAAGCCCAACTTCATCAACACTCTCCTCACAGCAATTCAGATGCACTTTTAAGGAGCACAAGAATACTGGAAGGAGTTTCATTACCCATAGTGCTAGAATATAACATCAGTGGCACCTTACTACTGAAGATGAAACAGCACAAGTCTGAATTTCTGCATATAAAATTAAGGAAACATCCTTCCTCTAACTTAGTGATCAGAAACCTTCTAAAACAAATAACAAATATTTGTAATCAGTTTTTCAGGTGGTACATTTTTTTCTTCTTTTTTTTTTTGTTTGGTTGGTTGTCTTTTTTTTTTTTAAAGTTCTACCTACATTAGAATAAAGCTTCAGGGACAATTATCTGAATCCAAGAGAAGATACCCACCATGCTACCTAACAAATATTCTTACCCAAGCCAAAAGGGTTACTATTTGTTGAAGCTGTTGTTGAGGTACTACTGCTTGATGTTGATGTGGTAGCAGTACTCCCAGTGGTGTTTGCTTGTTGAGCTGGCTGGTCTTGTGATCTAAAAAGGCAAGTTTAAAAGCTGCAAGTTTAACAAGTTAATTTAAACAATGCCATTAAATAAGGAATAGTATCATCCTTGCAAATCTTAATTTACATTTTGATTCTTTCTCAAAATTGCACTATTACCTCAGACGGCTTCCTGTAACAAATCGTTCTCAGTCATCTGTAATGTCATCAGTTTTTCAGAACAGCAGTTTGAAACATTAAGAAAATGGATGGGCACCACTGCAGTCATTACCACCTTCTCACCCTGTCCCCAGGATACCCACCAATGAATTGTTTCCTCTGTCCTTACCTTTCTTTAAGGATCCTTGCCTTATTCCACTATACTCATATTCTACTGATTACATGCCTGGAGCTTAAAGAAATAAAACCTAGCAAGATTTAAATTTAATGTCAGATTTATTTCATGCCACATATTTAATAGGATGCCTCACTGAATGTGAAATTCAGTTAATGTCTTATTCCATTAGAAGATGAATATCAGAAACTCAGTAATATTTAAGACTCCAAAAACAGGGTAAAATTGCAGTTACACAAAAGTTAAAACCAGCATAATTTAACACAGGTGCTAAAGGCTATCCAAGCCATATACTCACCACACCTTTCTACTAAAGAGGCATAACAAAGCTGCTGTCATGTAGTAAGAGATCAAGGAACTGAGCTTGTCTAAAGCTAACCTGGCCTCTGTTCAAAGAGGGACTACTTTGAAACTCCAATCAGTCCTCCAGTCTCATTCATGTCATAAATGCTTGTATTTGCAGAAGTACAGCATAAAATAACTTGTAGAAACTATGAATTCAGACCTCACAGAGGTTTGAGGATGTTGTGGTTTAAACCCAGCCGGCAGTCAAACACCACACAGCCACTCGCTCACCCTTCCCCTGCCTCAGGGAATGGGGGAGAGAATTGGAGGGGTAAAGGTAATGAGATTTTTAGGTTGAGATAAAAACAATTTAATAATTGAAATTAAATAAAGTTAAAATTGAAATAATAATAACAATAGCAGCAACAATAATAATAGACTATACAAACAAGTGATGCACGATACGATTGCTCACCAGCCACCAACCGATGCCCAGGCTGTTCCAGGAGGGATCCTCTGAAAAACCCTGAAACTGCAATCCCAGAAGACAGCTTCCCAGCCAACCCTCATCTCTATACTGAGCATGACATTATATGACTAGTGGAATATTCTACTAGTCAATTCGGGCCCATTGCTCAGGCTGTGCTTCCTTGGAGCTTCTTGTACACTTGTGCTCTAGCAGGACATGTGAAGTTGAAAAATCCTTGATTTCTTAGCGACAACTAGAAACGTCAGTGTATTATCAACATTCTTCTCATACCGAATCTCATACTGAATCTAAAACACAGCACTATTATAGCTACTAAGAAGGAAAATCAGCTCTATCCCAGCTGAAACCAAGACAGAGGATTCGACAGTACACTAGATTTTGTACCTCAGTTCATCTCAGACTACCCATCTACTACAAAAGCGAGGGGAAGGAGAACACAACAGAAAAATCCCAAACAACAAACAAACCAAAGTAACAAGGCTGAAAGGTCCAGAGGCTTCCCGGAGGTTTCTAATAGTTCTCTGATTCCAGGCTAAACATCAGCCACCAAAACCATAGACAGAAACCAAAGGAAAATTGAAATACTTTGCACACTTCACAAGTTCTTTCAGCAGATCACCAACACTAGCTTATAAATAGCCCATCGGCTGGTATTCCCTGCTGATCTGACCAGTGTTTTTGTCAACAGGTAGATAAAACATAGCATGCCAAGTCACGAAAGTATAGGATACCATGGGACCAAATCATCTCATTGAAGTTGTTACTGATGTTCTGAGTGTGAAGGAAGAGAAATACATTTCAGTCCACAAGATCTAACAGTTCTTCTAAAACTTAAGTCCACAGCGATTCCTATTAATTCAGTTTTGCATATTTTAATTTTTATTCCTTTCTTTCCTTTATTCCTTTACTTTCAGGTCTATCAAAACACTCACAAATTCTGCTGAATGAAAACATGTTCCAGAGGAAACCCTCCAGACAGATACTAACAAACAAGGTAAGGGAATACCTGGGTACTTGTCTTTGTCAGAAGGTGCCCTGACGTAACTCTGGGGTCCTGAGAAGAACAAGCATTAATACTCTGTAATATTAACAGCAACTGCGAACTCTGAACACAAGACAACTACTGTTAACCAAACAGTTATAACTTCAGTGAGGAAGATTAGAGACTGTATAGTGACCGTGGATCTTCTGCTAGATATCTGGTTTCCTTTTGTCTAGAAAACACATAAATCTTTCCTCCTTAAGAGAAAATTAATAAGCATAAAAACCTATTTGCTTTTTCAACTGAGAAACTATTTTGAGAAGCATCTGTGTCCCTTCATGTAACAGACAAGAAAGGTTCTCAAAGCAGGACAGAAAAGTAAACGAAACTGAAAACTCAGTTCATAGTGGCTCTATGGAAACCGGGGGTATGTACCCTCAAAAATATGGTTTGAGTGTCAAGTCTGTGAGCCTCAAGTCCTCATGTGAAATTCCTGCAAAGTGCATATCACCCTTTATATCCATTTTGTCATTATGTTTCCTCCATTTGCTTTTGAACAAACAACAGGTGTTGAATCGGAACCATGTATTTGGAAATTCAATGAATCTTTATGGCCCACTGTTAATCACTCACTGCTACTCTGATACTGTATAGGCCCGGTTACAAGATTACACTAGGAGCCTGGAAAACATAGCACGGTAATAATTTTTTTTTTTTCCATAAACGAATGATTGGTTGGGATATATGAGGATTCCTATTTGACAGTTACACATGTAATATTGTTTAAAAGGGAAAATACAACTTTCAGATCTAGTTTTGGAGAAGCACTTTTGCTTATTCAAATATATGGCAGCAACAGTAGCAGCAACAGTCAACAGAAAAGTAAATGGCATAGTGTAAAGTGGTTGGGAGCAATCCAATCTTGATACTCATGGCCAAAAATCAGCACTTGCCAGGCCACACGGGCAGGGCTTAAATCCTGCCTTTTGGGTCAAGCATAAAATCCAGGTATTTTAGTAAGAAGACTACTGAGATGGTTCAGGACAATGTCATACTTTCTCAAAGTTGATTTTCACTGTGCTGGCAATTCTCTTTAGCAGGTCTTAGGAATATATTTTTTCGTTTATTTGAGCAAAGCTAGTAAGTGAAAACAGTACTGCCGCATTTGAGGGTAGGGCAGATACACACAAAGAGTCTGTACTTTTTTGTTTGCACTTCCTTGTCTGAGACATGACTAAAAGATGCTGAAGATAATGGTAATACACTCTTCTAAAATTATTCAAAACAAAAAAAGCAGAGGGGCGAGGAGACATGGATTGCAGTGCTGATAGTACCAATGCAGGGACACCAAAATTCCTCAAAACCCGCAGGTGTCTCATTGTGCATGGGTGCTCCTTAGCCCAGTGGCAAAGTGCAAGAAGGTGCAAGAGACTGGTATTTCAGTACGTTTAGTTATTTTAGGTCCAACCTATATAAGACTCTATAAGTCAAAAGCATCCTGCTATCACCACTCACTCTCTGCCACACTCAAGACTGTAAGTAAAAAAAGCAGAAGTCATGACAACAGCAGAATACTATTTTAGATGTACAAAGCACAAAATAACAGTATTAGCTAATACTGTATATAAGATTGAGATGGCTATCAGGACTAAATTTCTGGCTGGGGAGGCACAGGGCAGTGAAGGGAGACCCCTGCCAGTGCCAACAAATATGTTTTGAACAGAGATGCAACTCCAGGACAGAGAAAACAGTCCCGCCAGGATGTGAGCACATAACTGAAGACATCAATGTCAACAGATGCCTATATTTAATGCCAGCACTACTAACTTCAACAGGTGCCTAAATCTAATGTTAATGTTATTAATAGGCCTCTGACTTGATGAGGACTGCAAAAGGAAAGCATATTCATTTTCTCTTAAATTCCATTCTCCTTCCTTCATCATCTGACATCTTCCCACGGAAGGAGATCCTCAACACAAACAGGAAAGACTTAAGCAGAACAGGAGCAGTAACACTTTCAGTCTAGAACAAACAACATGTTATTGACTAGGCAAGCTAGATTCAATTGAGGGATGTATTACCCTACTTGCTGAAAGGATTTTTTATTAGTCGAGCCCTTTTCTTCTGGGTACTTCACAGAAGTAATGTTCAGATGAGACAGCTCAACAGATGCAACTTTCGTGTCATTTTAAAGTTGCCTCACCAGAACAAAAAAAAAAAAAAAAAAAAGCCAGATAAACTAGTTGTACTAAAGCAGTTCTTTCAGAAGTTTTCTCTCAGAAGTTTTCTTTCCTTGTTTTACCAAGTGAGTAAGGATCCACTGCAAATTCTCATGTGTGAAAAGAAAAAGCTGTGTAACATATCTTTACGGATGGTAAGAGTTGATATCTAAACAACTATAGAGCCCAAACACAGACAGCACTCAGCACTAAAATCAAAAAGCTAAATAACAAAAAAAAGCAAGACTTGTATTTAGAAACATGAATCCAATTAAAATATAAGATAAACCTAAGAAAAAAGCACTCTAATTTCAGACTGTTATTCTGTACCAACTGTAACCAGGGAGCTGATTCAAGTGATTTATTCAAATCTAAATTCGCCCAACAGAAAGATGTTAAGAATTTTTACTAACTGCTTTACTTTTTATTGTTAAGTATTTTTACTTTTAGAGGTAAAGAGAAGATCACTCATCAGTAAGGTTACCTGTTTTGTGTTTTGATAACCAGGTGAACAGTGAGTCCATCGTGAATTCCATGCTGAGTCAAAGTATCTTGATCTTTTAAAATTTTTCCAGCAAATATCAACACAAGCTGATCAGTGTGGGACTTGAAACGCTTAGAGATTTCTTCCTTGAACTAAACAAAAAAGTTAATATTATACATTTATATAACTGAATACTGAACTATAATTTTTTTAATGATTTAAGGACAATCTATTTTGTTCGCATTTAATGTATTATCCCACTTGCACTGCACATTGTTTTACACAATCTAGAAATATTTTAAGTTTTCTTTTTTTTTTTTTTTTTTTTGGTCCACAGGAAAATGGGAAATAGTTATTTTCTTATTTGTATAATAAAAATCAGAAGAGTTTCACATCTGGATCACTAGTTATATAACCGGCAAGAACAAAAATCTGATTCCACTTCAAGACTACTGTGGCTTCAATCAGGCTGGCATCCATGACAATAAATACATACTAGTACATGTACTAGCTATATATAAACAAGTACATGTACACACTGTAAAGTATGTATCTAATTTTATACTAGGAAGTATATACTATTATACACACACACACATGCATGCCTCAAGCCATCCGTTGCTGAAAGACTGAGGATTCAGTATCAAAGGTATGATAAATCTGTCTACACTTTGACCAGAACTGAACAGAGAAGCATCTTCTCTTCTTAGACATATTTTTGATGCATTCCATGTGTCAAAACTAGCATTCCTTTTCACACAGGCAAAAGTCCTCTCTCGGGTAGCTCTACTTTCTCATTCAACATGGCTACATGAAAGGAGGCTGCAGCCTACGGCACGGCGCATAGATGCATTCTTCAGATGACCAGGAAATCAATAACTGCCAGGTTGTGCTCTGAGATTTATTATTCTTCAGAAAAATGCTCTCACTGAAAGCAAAAAATTCACAAAACTTAAAAAGGAAGATATCCAAGAAAAATGCTAAGGAATTACTTTACTATAAGAAAGCCAGATAGCCTAGTCTTGTTGAATAAATCTAAGTAGGCTAAGTATTTTTAAACAAGCCCAGGCAGTTAGGAAGTCCTTCAGAAGTTCACCCTATTCAACATTTTAAAATTAAGTTGACCATACTACTCTAAAAAACATACCAAGCATACTACGGAATTCTCACTGCATGTAAAAAAAAAAAATTAATCTTGCAATTAGTTATTAATAATTATATTTTGTAATAGGCAGGACAAAACCAGTAAAATGACACTGTATTATGCTCTGAATACGAGTCTCTAATTGAAAGGTTTTACAGTATAGGAGAAAAAAAAACTTAAGAGTATCTGAGAGACAACAGAGGTAAAAAGTCTGTGTTTCGGTAGGATGCTGTCGTTGGTTAGTTAAAAGTCTACTTACAGAGAGTTAGTTCCAGTTCTTAAGGAAACAACTTTTAAATCAGCCTTTACACTGGTAGTATTTAGACTTGCAAGTGTTTCAGAAAGTCACTCAGTCCCTTCCTTCCCAAAGTGGGTTACTTACCTGAATTATTCCCAACATTTTTCTAGCCTGTTCTCTGAGGTCCCCAGTGACTTTCTTCCAAGAAACCTATTCCAGTGTTTCACTACCCTATTTCTTCGTTGTCTGGTCCACAATGGACAACACAGATTGTTGTTCTCCTTAGAATAAAGGGTTGCAGTAAGGCTAACCTTTCATTGAGGGTTGTTTTCTAACACAATCATTCCCACTACTCTCTGGATTTTCAAATCCAATTACATAGTTCTGCAAGTGTGGGGATCAAAACTGGCCAAAATATCACACAACAGTTCTTATCTATACTTAGTGGAACAACAGGAAAAACCCCACATCCTGCAAGCTATATTCCTATTTACAAGAAAAAGTGAAAAATCCATGTGGGAAACACGTGTAACAGTGGTGACTTATTTAATGGCTATAAACTCTAGACCCTTTTCTTCTGAGCAACTGTTCAATCAGTCACTTCCTATTCTGCATTCTTTTGGTTAATTATTCTTAACACACATTCCAAAGTAACATAAAAACAAGATAAATACTCACAATTTGGTACAAAGCTAATACATAAGAATAAACATTTACCATACTGTGGCAAACCAAAGAGTAATGTCATTTACCCAAACTCATTTATTATTGTATTTTCCACAATATGTTCTGACAGCGAGATCCACATCTTAGTTCTCACCACAAGGCTGATACTGTAATATAAACAATATTAACAGAATCACAGAATATATCAAGTTGGAAGGGACCCATAAGGATCACTGAGCCCAACTCCCCGCTCCTTGCAGGACTACTTAAAAGTAAACTGTATGACTAAGAGCGTCACCCAGACTCTCCCTAAACTCTAACAGGCTTGGTGACATGACCAATTCCCTGGGGAGCCTGTTCCAGTGACCAACCACCTGTTCAGTGAAGAACCTTTTCCTAATGTCCAATCTGAATTTCCCCTGACGCAGCTTCATTCCATATCCTCATGTCCTATCACTGGTCACCAGAAAGAGGAGATCAGCACCTCCCCGTCGAGGAAGCTGCAGACTGATGAGGTCACACCTCAGCCTTCTCCAAGCTGAGCAAGCCAAGTGACCTCAGCCGCTCCTCCCAAGTCCTGCCCTCAAGGCCCTTCATCATCTTGGTTGCCCTCATCTGGACATACTCTAATAGTTTGGTGTCCTCCTTCAAATTACTTTACCTTAAATCAAGCCCTCTCACACATTTCTAAAAGCTGCTACTTACCCATAAGGTCAAGGAAACAAAACACCATTTGTAGAACATAACCAAACAGCATCTAATATAAACGCTGTATATAGGCTTCATATAGACCTAGTATCTAGGCATCAAAGGCTATACACTTTCTTTACCCCACTTACATGTAATGCTATTTAATCTGCAAAACCAACACTGCAGTAAGGCATGAATGAAACAGCCAATGTACCAGGACACCCCAAACCTCTACAGCAATATACACATGTGATCTAAACACAATAGTTCTCTTTCCAGCCACAATAATAAAGCTGTCAAGAATACCGAACCAATTTTGGCTGAGGCATATTTACATAAAAAGCCTAACCAAGACACAAAAAAAGTCAGGCCTCCATCAACTTCACTTGCATCCAGCACAACCTCGGGACTTCTGAAATTACAAGGTATAAACAGGTCCAAGCCCTCTATTTGACACTCATTCACAGAGAACTACCACATATAACCTAGGTTACCATGAGAGATATTTTGCAAACAAGTCTACTGATTAGTATTAACAGTTAAAGACACCACCAGTAACAGATTATGTCCATACACTTTATTTTTTTGTTGAGGCAGGGGAGAAGAAAATAATCTATACATTTGTAAAACAGAATACCAAAAGCCATTGAACCATTTTCAATACATGTGGCTTTAGTTTTGGTTTGGCTTTTTTTTTTTTTAATTATCAGCATCTAATCTGTTGCTCCCTGGTTAAAAAAAAAAAAATCAAAATATTAATGTCAGTATTCAGCATCACACAATCTCTGTCAATACTGGAAGATGATTAGCCTTAGGTTGGAGTTTGGCACAAGTCACTACTGTTTGTACTGTGAAATAATGTCAAGGAGGATGGAAGACAAGACTCTTTACCATCCTCTGGGCACAAACACTTACCTTCGGTATTCTCAGTCTCTCACTGATAACGGTAACCAAACTGCAAGACCATTCCCCCAGAGTAAAAGGGGAAAATCTAGAAGTTTCTTTAAATTCAAACACTGAAAGGACAAGAGAAATGACTGGCAACTGCATTTTTACTCCCACAGACCCTATCTGTGTAGTTTTTATGACTCCCCACTGCTCTTACTGGCATCAAATAATTTGAGCGATAAGGTGTTACAGAGCTACAGTAAAAAAAAAAAAAGCATAAGCAGTGAAGACAACTATCAATTTTCTTCTCCCTAAGCACCAAACTAGTATGTCAGCTCAGAGCCTCAAATTAAACATACACAATTAACGGCAAAGGAAATAAAGGAAATGAGATTATCATAATGTGCATTAATACATATTTAGGCAGTTGTACAAAAATAAACTTTGGTATTGTTTAAATCTTCACTTTGTACAACTGAACTAAATAACACTACCAGCAAATTAGTTAAAATACTTGGCCATCTGGGAAAACCAAAAGGAGGAGTTCGAAGTGTCACCGGCTAGAAATGATGAGCATTTCTGTCCAGTTCTCCTACTGCACTGACTCTAGTCTCTAACACTAGTCTTATTGAAGCACCTTGTCAACATGCCATTTCACCTAAAGTTAACTTGCTTCTGTCAACTTTTTTTTTGTTTTTGTTTTTAAAGGACAGGAACACTGTAATTTTTCACATTGAGAACATACACGTTTTTTTAGCAGCACACCAGCACTTTGTGTTTATACTCCCCATTTTCAAGCCAAACATCCTCATCTTTACACAACTTTAAAAAACTGAGCCCAGTATTCCACTAACAAAACTTGACTTTTTTGTTCCATGTTAACACAAAAAAAGGCGACATGAAGCAAGTTAGGACTTCTGTTACACCTGCTCAACTTGATTGCCTCTGAAGGTTTTTTCAAGCTATGGGCAAACCCCACGGTGCTGATGCCCAGTGCTGAACAAAAGCACACTCGTACCGGAGCTAGTTAAACATTTTGTTACTGAACAAAGCTAATGTCTGAACACACATGGAGTAAAACAGCTGACTAAAACAGAGATTGTTTTGCACTGTCACTTTGCAGAGCAGATCCATACTTTAAACATTAACATATTAGTATCTGACCATCTGGCAAGTTGGCCGAGGAAGGGCCTGGTAAAAGTTATCCTAGGCAAAGCAAAAATCTTAACATGCAAACTGTCCTTTGACATGTTATCACCATATAATGATTCAAAAGCTTTTGCTGACTCACTCTGACATCAAAACCAGCAACTGTAATAACGTAACTATCCATTCACATGACAAGTGCTGTGAAAACGCAATAAAAAGAGGAAAAAATAATGCAAAATACTTTCCCAAATGCTCTCAACCTTTGCTTAATAAGACATATTTAAAAACTAAATTACAGTAAGTCTGAAAGAGGCCTCACTGAATTAACATCCAATTCCCACTGAAAAGTAACAGAAAAACAGACCCCTGAAAACTGC